TTTTAGTTCAGAATCTTTATAATTCCAATTGGTTTTTCGCGCAGATTAAAAAGAAAATGGTATCGAAATTTATAACCCTTATCATTCTATTTTAAATTTTTTCCATGCTATTTCCATACAAAACTTTGATTGAATTGCGCACTATCTAAAAGGCAATATTAAGAGCTAAAACTTTTCGAGAATTTTTTTTTTATTAATTTGGAAGCATTTGAGCCCTTGGGAGCCAGGGAATTCGAAAATGTCCATGTTAAGGACCACCCTAATATATATACATTATTTTTTTAACCTCCGGCAATCAATTTAAACAAAACCAAATAATAATCTGCAACTATTTTCCTGCAGCAATTTTTCTGCAGCACGTGCCAGTTTATTCGGAAATGTTAGTTTCGCATGAAAACTTCTCGTTTTGAATTTTATGGCCAATTTCATGACTCATAAGAGAAACTTTGACCGAATAAATTCGTATTCGTATTCGTTACGAAGAAAGTGACTACTGAGAAACAATAAAATGAAATCACTTTATAGAAATGATGAAAATCGATGAAAAGGGTAAACAGTCGAGGTTATGAAATTGATTGTATACATTAACCAATTCTGAAGTTTTTTCTTCTTGAAGGCAATTTTCCTTTACTATTTCCATGTTTAGTAGTCAATCCAGCACTTCAGTGCCTTCTTCGTCTACGAACGGTTCAGAATGTTAATTTTTCGCAAAGATTGCGAAAAATAACAAAAGATCTTCGATTATTCGAATCACGAAAGGATCTTCTACTTCTTCGTTTAGAGTTAGACGAAGAATCGATACGTGTGGTCGTCTCTTCGTAGACGTGATTCGATTTCGAAATTGCGATTTATTTTATTTCTGGTTATGGGCTTTGAATATAAAATCATATTGATAGTGGTGGATACTGTCTATAAGTCCAAGGCATGGGTTACACCGAGAAAAAATTGGAAGAAATACCCAAAAAACACCTAAAACCGTTTTAAAAGGAAATAGTAATAATTGTTGAAACTATGTATTTACTATTCCAAGTCTAAGATAGAATTGTCACGTTTTTTCTTGAAGAGGTTTTTAACATGTGTTAAAATTTTACGAGAAATTTAAAAGCGATGGATCTTGTCATTTTAAAAAAAAATTGATACGCTTTTTAGGAACCACGTGTTTGTTTCGTTCAGCGCCGTGTTTCAAATCGTTTGTTTATGACCCTGTCGTTATGCAATTGCAAAAACAACCCCTCAGCAAATCTTCTTTTAATAACTTTCTTTTCATAATGTAAAATTTTTGGGTGAAAAAAATCTATATTATGGTTTAAATTAATGATATGATCGGTTAGCATAGTTTTAAATTGTTTAGTATTTTTAGAGTTATTTAGCTTATGAGAATCATACTGAAGTTCTGATAAGATTCTGATAGCCATGGTAATAGGAAAAATAAAATAATATATATATATATATATATATACATATATATATATATATATATATATATATATATATATATATACATATATATATATATATATATAATTTTTTTCCTGTGATCTATTTTTGGGCAAAACCTGTTCCTCAAATACATCCAAGTCTTTCCATTTTATTATTCAAAACTAGAAATACAGGTTCAAGTCACTTTTTTTAAATAAAATTTGCATAAATAAACACACGTGTGTTTGATTATTTGATTATTTTATTTAGATTGGATTATGATTTCCTGCCTTTTTATATATTATATTATGTATTATTATTATTGTCGGTTGTAATGACAATAACTGGAAACTGGCAATTAGAAATTTAAATACGATGTGATAAATATCATGACCTTATATACATAAATTATGAATGGGAAATGACTAAGTAGGTTGTGCAAATTTTAAATTTTTATTAGAATGACAACTATATATTTTATATAAAATAATAATCTATTTTTCATCTACTTTTTCATCAAAATTAATTAGTTTGTTATCGACTTATCTATATTTTATCAATTTGAGGCTTTTTGTGTGCGTCATTTATCAGTTTTTTGATAAGAATTTAGTACTCGAATAAATAATCTATATGTTTTGATTAAATATTTGAAGTATTTCTACACAACTTTGTTGTCAAAAGCACTCCTAAATATTACAAAGTTGTAAAAGACTGGAGATTTATATACATACATACAATTATGTAACCGTGGAAAATAAAATAAATTAAAATAAATTAAGTACTCCTAAAATTTACTGATGTTCCAAATAAAATAAATCATTTATTCAAATTTTGTAGTCTTCTCTATTTTATCTATTTATTTAAATCTTATCGGAGAATTAAACCTAGTGGTGCATTTACGTGCTACAGTAGGTGGCGCCTCTATGGAGCGTGGAAATAATTAAAACTGTAGTAATGGCAAATGTTGAAAATTCTTTAATTTTTCGTATCACTTTAAATAACTTTAATATTTTTAGTAAACAAAAAAGAGCTCCATTACACATAATACCGTATTGTGTAACATTTTCACCAATTAGCAGAGTTTTATGTATGTTCAGAAGAATCAGAAAGTAGAACGCCTTTATATTTATATATATATATATATATATATATATACAACTGACATAATTGTACAAAAGTACAGTTAAAAAAAATTTACACTTTTAAAATGATGTTTAACGATCTCTGACGACGAAGCCAACTCAATTTTATGAATCGGTCAGATGAGAATTATTATTATAACAGTTTTTTGAATTATATATGATTATATAAGAAAGTTGAAGGAATAACATTACTTTATACTTATTTTCAAGACATTTTTTAACACGTTTTTGAATCATAAAGTAATTAAATTGGCTCATCAATACAAAACAAACATAGATTTCCACAAAAAGTTGTGCAGAAATTAATATATATAAAATTGTGTATGAAATTTTTTAAACACCTAATATATATTAGATTTTTTTTATTAATGCAAAGTATGATTTTAAATGATACACAAAATAGTGTATATATTTATTTTTTCAATGCAAAATATCTCCTGTGCTTTTTTTACTAAAGGCAAGTTTGTTTTGATTGTGGATTTAACTTTTAAATACCTTTATTATTATTTTTTTTATCCACTCAAATAAAAATAAAGAAAATATTTTTATATTTAAAAAATTAAATATGGGATTTAAAATTATTTAAAAAATTAAATATGGGATTTAAAATACTAGAGTTAAAATTAAATACTCGGTTTTTAAAAATTAAATGGAATTTTGTAAAAATAATTAATTTTGATTTAGTATAAAAATAAGAAAAATAATGCACTGCTTGCAATGTTCAAAAATTAAATACACAGTATTACAGGTTGTATTAAATCGCAATTTGCTTTAGTGAAAATTAAATAAAATATTTGGTATTTAAAAATTAAATAGATATTGTTAAATATTTTATTTTGTATTTATATAATATATAATATTATCCAACTATCGTATTTCTTTTTTTAAATTTGGTATTCATAAATTCGATTTTTTTTTTAAAAAAGTTCATTTTCAAAATTCTCAATAATTTTTTTTTTAATTTGGTATTCAAAAATTAAATACACAATTGATATACATATTTTATAATGAAGCACTTTAGAAGAATTCGGTATTTTTTTAAATAAATTTTTAGAATAGTAAAGAATTTAATAAATATTCGGTTTTTGGAAATGTAATAGCATTTTATATATTATGTAAAAACCTACAGAAGTAAAATTCAACATATTATGGGAAAAATTAAGGGTATTTAAATTTTAAATACACAACTTCATTTAAATTCAAAGTTCAGTGATTGAAAAATTACTTTTAGTCATTAAATTATTAAAATTTTGTGTTTGTATACGATTCTTCGTCGATGATTTAGAAGTTCAAAATATTTTTAAAAAAATCTAAAATCGATTTTTTCCAAAAGTGTCAAAGGTTCGAGTTTTTGTATGAGTCGAATTTTTTCAAAATTTAATATTTAAAATCTTCATTTTTTTTCATTTTGAAAGCTTTAACAAACCTTACCCGTAGGGTAAGTTATAGTTATCGCAAAAAAATCGAAAATGAAAATTTTTATATATCCTTACGTTTCAGACGTTTTTGAACATTTTGGCATACCTTTAAAAAAATGGATGTATGTGTGTGTGCGCGGATACTAATTTTCGTCGACGATTTTGCGAACAAGGATTAACCGATTTGAATTATTCCATTCGTATTGATAAGGAGACGTGTTGATTAGTTTTTGGCAAAGGCAGGCCCAGCCATTTCGAAGATACCGAGCTAAATATACAAAAAATGGCGGTTTTTTGAGAGGAATAAGCATCCGAATTGAATGGTTCAAAAAACTTTCTGCTTGTGTTGACAAAACAATTGCTTTTAGAAAAAAATCGTATAATTTTTTTTGTATGCCGAAAATGATTCAGATTTCAATTTTAATTCTGGCTAAAGCTTTAAAACTCACTTATATACTTTAAATGAATATTTTTGACTTTGCAATTCAGTTTATATAATTCTTATAAATATTAGACAATGTTACAATATTTATAATAATCTATGTGAAAACATTTAATATTCCCCGAACAGTTCGTTACGGTACGGGAAGTTCCAGCAATTTGCCTTAAGGCACGATGCCATACACCACTAGTCCAATATTTAAATTGTAAAATTCTCAAACTATTTTTTTTTTCAAAATTATGAAAGCTTATAAAAAGTTTGAATTAAAGTGTGTTATCATACAATATAAAAATCACTAAGAAATTATTTAAATAAATAGTACAAACATCATAATTGAATTTTGTAAAAGTTTGTACTCTTCAGAATTATAAATATTGTCTTTTATAGAGAAATTTCCTATCCGAGAATAAAACTATAGAAGTAACGTTAACGAGTTGCAATTGTTGTGAAATTATAAATCATAATGCCCGATACCGCAATGTATAAATGCAAAAAATCGTTGTATCTCAAAGCCATTTATCTAGAGGTCGTTTATTAGTGCGCGATTTGCAAAAAAAAAGTGTCAATTCCTCAACTCACCGTTAGCCTTGAACGCGGTATCAAACGAGGGCGCCCTGACCGGGTGCTTAAGTAATTATTAAAAAAAACAGATATCATAAATAAAGTAAAATAATATAGTGTTATTGAATTTTGTAAAAGTTTGCAGTATTCACTTAATAGTTATAAATATTGTCTTTTATAGAGAAAAATCTTATTCGAGAATAAAACTATAGACTCTATAGTATAGAGTCACGTCAACGAGTTGCAATTGTTGTGAAATTACAATTTTATGAGTTTATAATTCGGATGCAAAAAATCGTTTTATTTATCTAGAGGTTGTTTATTAGTGCGCGATTTGCAAAAAAAAAAGTGTCAATTCCTCAACTCACCGTTAGCCTTGAACGCGGTATCAAACGAGGGCGCCCTGACCGGGTGCTTATCCTTGAACGCGGCCGATCCGGCTCGTTCGGCAACGAACACGGCGGCCGGCAGAGACTCGCCTCTAGCCAGCGGCGGTCTTCCTGCCGCATCGTCGGCCGTCAGCAAACCCTGGGCGCCCCTTTTGACGGCCACCAATCCTTCCGGGTGCTCCTCATTATCATCAGTCGAGGCTCCGCGTTTCAGTTGCATTTGCTGAGACCTCAAGGCGGACGCATGATGGGCCGAAACAGGCGAACGTACGGAGGCCTGGGTGAACTCGCTCAGATGTCCGGCGCTGGTGGACGTCTGGTTCCTGTGCATGGCGGCCTGGTAATGAGCAGCGGCTCTGTGGATTTCATTAACGCCGTTTTCGACGGCTGCCACGGTTGCTCTGGATTGGGTCAGACCTTTTGTGCCTGCTGCTATTCCGCGTTTCATCTGACGAGCGGTGTCCAGGACCAACTCGATGCGATCGGCACCTTCGTAGTTGACGCAACCGCGACATACCGGCTCTGTGAAGTCTGTGAGCATTGCCCACGGCATGCGGGGCAGATCGCATAAGTAGCAATGCTGACGCTTTGCTTGGACAGACATCATTACAAAAAATTAACCGAACCCAAGTCACACCACTGTATCAATACACAAGGTACACAACACTTAACACTCCGAAATATTTTTCACTAAACACAATGTAACCTTTATTACCTCTCCCGCGACGTAAAACTAAATTTAGAAAAATCCGGCACACTATTATTACTCTCTTCTATTTTTCTGTCTTCCGTATCTCAAGAGTTGATTGTTGAATGTGTCGTCGTCGTTGCCATCATTATTTTTGGATGTTGAGAACTACGCGCCGTGCTACTTGACAATGTATATCTTCATCGTATGAAAGTACGCGACATACTGAGGATTTGTATAGAGAGCAGCAGCTCGCAGGCAAACGGTTTGGTGTTGGTGCGAGCCCCCGGATCACTCTACTACGTCGACATTCGACCAAAACGAAGGCCAGGGAATCGATAGTAAAGGGCCACATTTGTAAAAGAATATTTTCAGAACTGGCCAATTAATAGAACATGCACTCTAGATTTAGTTCAAATCTTTGGTATTTTTCAACTTCCCGAAGGAGAAGTTTGTTTTCATCAAAAAATCCGATTCGCTAATTTTATGTTTTCTCGACGTTTCAAGCCATTCTGAATCGAATGAGACCAACATTAGGAAAAAGTATGTGTGTGTGTGTATGTGTGTGTGTGTATATGTGAACAGATTTTTTGCCGTAAATCGACGTTTTCTCAAAAACGACCGGATCGATTTCAAAAATTTAGAAGACATTCGATGTATCTCGATGAGGACTAACGTTTCTGAGTTTTGTGCGACGATCGGCCGGGCCGTTTCTTTGTAAATAGCAGAAAAGTGAAGAATTTTTCGTCCACGTTTTAGCTCGCAGTTCTGAATCGATTTTGAAAATTCAAAAACCGTTCGAAAGATATTGATTGGGAATCGTGCTGATGAGTTGTTGGTAGAGATCGGCCGGGCCGTTTTCTTGTAATAAAGTGTTAAAAAAATTTTTTTTCGACGACTTTCACGAATTTTTTTTTTGACGGTAGATACCATAATATTATAGATCATACTAAAATATTACGGTTCTACGACAAGTCGTTTAATTTTAAAATTCCGTCAAAGTTTGCAAAAACTAGTGTCGTTTTTTTGGCGTTTGTCAAAATTATAACTTTCATCGACGATTGCTTAAAAACGCCTGAACCGATTTCAAAGATTTAAAAGCCAAGCGATGTACTTTGATGTGGATAATTTTTTGTCTGTTTTGTGCATACTACCGAATTTATTTTCAAAAATGAAAAACTGTTTGCAAGATATCATTTGGGAATGATACTGATTAGTTTTAGTTGAAAATCTATCGAGCCGTTTTCTTGCAATTAACTGTTGAAAAAAAAATTATGCCAATTTTTATGTAACTTTTTTTTGGCGATATATATTATGGTCTTAAAGAACTTACTGAAATATTACGGCCTTACGACAAGTAGTTTAATTTTAAAAATTTATCAAAGTTTGGGAAAATGAGTAGTTTTTTTGACGTTTGTTAAAATTAAAATTAGACGATTTACTTGGTATAACGATAGAGTGTGTGTTCGTTTTCAATTCTGTGTAATGAATCCACTCAGAATACTTTTAATCACTCATAAATTAATTTATTTTTATTGATTAAATCGATTATCATTTACACATATCAGGAAGATCATGTAACTTGCCTCTAATACCAATACCAACTAGTTTGATTTTTTAATCTAGAACAATTACAAAAACATTTTATGGAAAAAAAAAGATGTAATAATTTTTTAACCTCAAAAGCAATTGTTTTGTCAACACAAGCAGAAAGTTTTTTAGATCATTTAAATCGAACGCTTAGTTCACTTAAAAACTGCAATTTTTTGCACATTTAGCTCTGTTTCTTCCAAATGGCGGGACCTGTCTTTGCCAAAAACAAAACACCTCATTTCCCAATCATTACAAATTGAATGTTTTTTTCAGATCATTCAAATCCGATACTGCGTTCTCTCAAAAACTCGATTTGTATTTTCTGCACTCTTTGCTCCGTATCTCCGTAACGGCTGGACCTGCCTTTGCCAAAAACTAAACAGCATATCTCCCTAGCAATAGGAATCGAATGTTTTTCAAACCATTCAAATCGATTGATCCGTGCGCCCGAAAACGTGGACGAAAAAATGCAGACATACAAAACACATACACACACATCCATTTTTTCTGAGGTATGCCAGTAAAATGTTCAAAAACCTTCAAAACGTCGAGAAATGCAAAAATTTTCATTTTCGATATTCGGCCATTGCTAAAACTACCCTACGGGAAGTTAAAAATGTTTTCATGTGCTGATTACGAAATGAATCAAGTAGACGTGATTTTAATGTATTTATCGACTTCATTTGTTTTAACTCTCAAATATTAGCTAGAAGTATGAAAAGGAGCATGCTTTCTGAAACCAAACCTATTTGTTCGTACGAAAGATACAGAATAAAATTATGAATAAAATGGTATATAAATGCTTAAGTGTGTTCATATAATTTTCTCGAGATTTACCGATTTTCCTGAAATTTTACGACAGCAACTTGCCTGTAGGCCACACCGTTCGGAATTCGAAGTTGCGATATATGGGAAAAAAACTAAGAATTTTGAGACCTCTATAAAGAATCTTGAGAATCTTGAGAATCTCTATAAAGATTAAATAATTTTCTCAACAAAAGTAGATGGCATGAACGAATTCGTAAAATCCCTCGTGTTTTAGTATTTAATCTTACAATAAACAAGTAATAATACAAGCAAGAATTTATTCAAAAAGAGCTTTGTAAGTCTCGCTTGGACTCTATTGTGATTGCTAAAAGTTTAATTGATACAACATGTATTTGTTGGTCTCATAAATAGCCATTTGTAAACGCAAATATTAATATTATTATTTCTAACTTTCAACCTTGTGCAAGAATTTTGAGCTTGCCTGGTGGTCAAATAGACTTTAATATGATGAACATTGTATTTAATGTTCGAATGCTTTTCTTCAGCTCTTTTTTTTCAGAAGTGAAATTCGTGCAGCTATTATGATTATTATAAAATTACTATCCTTTTAATATTAACTATGAATAAGCTTGACAAGAGCCTGAAATAATATCTATTATTATTGATTACGGCTTGCTTATGAATAAATAAATAAATAAATAAATATCTTATCATTTCTAATATTGTTATTTTTTATATTTATTATTATCTGTCACTTATTGTTTTTCTAGTATTATTTTATTATTCAAAAATTTTATTTATATTATTTACTAATTTTATTTTTTTATTATTATTTACTTTTATCGTATATTAAATCATCATACTACGGATATTATTTTCATGTACATTCTATCCTTTGCACTTTTATTTATTTAAATTTATGTTATTATTTATCAATGTTACTAGATGTTAACTATTTAACAGTTGTAATAAACATTGTAATTGAAAAAAAATGTATTTGTTGGTTATATAAATTTTATATCCCAGACCCTCACCCCGTCCGCCACCGCTCGACACAATTCTTCCACACCAATGCATACCTACAACTCGTCCCATATGCATTCTTTACCTCCTGCAATGTATTGGTTCGTGATCGTGTTCAATCCATACACCCATACACCCTTGGGCACGTCTGTTTAAACACAACTGTATATAATATTCTTCGTCCTCCGTCTCTTCGTCCTCGGTCATCCGTCCAACCGGTTCGCCGGGCATGCGCGGAGGTTCGTGCGTTCGATTCGGCCGTCTTTCGCCTCTCTTGTTGGGTACTCGTTGGTTCGTTCTAGTATCGAGCGACGAGCGTTTTCGTGTGACGTCAGGCGACGTTGGCTTTGCGGATGGATGTGGGAAGGAAAGGCGGAGGGCGACGTTGCAGCCGGCGGAGAGGCAGGTCACTAGCTCGGTTGTAATAGATGGAGGGTTGGTGTGAATTTTTATGCAGAGTCAAATATAATTAGTTGGATATTGAGAAATATGAGGCTAGATAGATTATTATTTATGAGTAAGTTCTTCAAGGGCAATACATCAAATAAAAGGCAAAGATTTAGAAGTTAATCTTTAATTTTTCCAAACGTTTCGACATAGTATTTTATGTCATCATCAGTGGATATCAGTAGCTAGCGCAAGGCACATAATTTTGCACTATATCATATATACACTAACTTGTTTTTTTTATTTTTTGTTGAAAAGATCATAGCCTGGCCGACATTTGTGAATTTAAAGATCAATCAAAAATATAGAGACTTAGTAACTTTTAAAATGACGATCAACATTTCAACATTTATTTTATCAACTAGATGACCCGACAGACGTTGTCCTGTACCCATGTCTACAATTTTTCAATATAATATACTAATATTTACCGTTTACCTAAAAATAATAATTATTGTTTTTTAAATTACTCTTCACGCCAAAATACATATACATTTATAATATGAGCGATGTTAAATGTAGAACTGCTTTAAATAAAATGAGTCTCAATTCCAACACTCTATTAATCTTGAATTAAAAATTGAAGTCTTTTAAACGGTATAACATAACCATAACTATACCACTGGTACTTCATGTTGGTTTAAAATAATTTAATTTTTTATTATTTAATACATTCAAAATTGCATCTTAAACTTCTCCTGAGGGCAGAATTGTATGTATTCATCTTTACTTTCCCATTTGTTGTTATAGAGTGAAATTTTTACGAATTTCAAGAATGTTGTGGAAAGATTAGTAAAAGATGCAAAGAAATTATATCTTGAAAAAAAACTATATTGAAAATTTAATATCCGAATCTAGTGTTGGCGCCCCTTAAGGCGTGCGCTCGTATATCTAGCATGCGTTGCATTAAAGGTAGAACCGGCCCTGATTAATACTTAATTTCATATTTTAAGTGAATTAATTTGTCATATCCTGTTCATATGTATTTAATTCAATCTGCCATACATATATTGTATCTTATATTATTTTAATTTCTGGCACATCTCAACTGCTTCATTGCAATAATAATGTAGATATTACATGTT